TTAAAATATATTTTTATTGATTTCAGAGAAGCAGGGTGAGGGAAAGACAAAAAAACATCAATGATGAGATAGAATTATTCGTTGATCAGAATTCCTCCATGCCCTTGCTTGGAATCGAACATGGGATCTTTCAGCCTGCAAATTCCGAGGCCTGAAAATCTTAACAATAAAAATTTAACTGAAGATTAACAAGCAAATGTGTTACAAAGCATTTGGCACTCTCCCTATTTTATGATGCATCGAAAAAATGATTAAGTATAACCCCTTTTGCTTTTCAAGATTCTTCCATTTAATAGTCCATTTTAAAAGATAAGGCATACCTTGTTATGTGTGTTGTTGTTTTTTCTAATAGTCCTAATGGATTTTCTTACTTTTGAATGAAAATCTAAAGAAGAATCCAGTCTACTTCTTTTAACTGAAAGAATGCATTATCTCTGAAAAGAAATTGTGGTGTCATACTGTTAGGATTCCACCACTTTTTTGTCACGTTGTTTGGGGCATTGGTTTAATAATGTGGCACAGCAATTGAAGAAAACTTTAGAAACCATTCTTTTATTATTTCAACCGGCATATATTTCATATATTAGCCACCTAATATATGCCAGGCACTATTTTAGGTACAGAAGACAACAGTGAGCTGAATGTACAAGGAACCTCATGAAGTTTATATTCCAGAATAAGGAATTATAAAGTAACAAAATTTAAAATATATATACTTTGAGATTGTTCTGTGAAAACAGACAAAACTGGGTTTGCATCCTTATTATATCAACTAGAGGCCTGGTGCACAAATTTGTGCATGGGTGGGGTCCCTTGGGGTGGCCCATGGAGATCATGCCCGCAGCCCTGCTGCCACGCCTTGGCCTGGCACTGCCCCCTCACCTGCTCCACCATCCCGCCGGCTGGGTGCTGTCATTCTTCTACAGGCACGGACGTTGTCTCGGAGACTCCTCAATGTGTGAAAGTCAGAGAGGAGAGCCTGGGAGAAGGTGCTACTTCCTCTACTGATTCCCTTAGAGGACTGTGTGCCTGCTTCCCTCATGCCTCCATGAGAAAACCATTGCTTCCTTCACAAACCAATTTCCTCAAGATACAGTTAAAGAAGAAAATAGTCAAGTTGTCACCAACTTAAGACTAACTTAAACCACAACATAACTAAGCCATGGAAACAAAACCATGGTTGTATATACCCCCCAATATTATTTAGACCTGATGTCTTAGGCATTTTTAGATAACATCTTTTTTTTTTTTTTTAACCTTCACCCTAGGACATTTTTTTCATTGATTTCCAGAGAGAGTGGAAGGGAGAGTGGAGGGGAGAAAGACATCAATGTGAGAGAGAGATATCAGTTGGTTGCCTCCTACATTGTGCCCCAACTGGGGTGGGGAACCTACAACAGAGATACATGTCCCTGACTGGAATTAAACCCTTGACCTTTGGTCTGTGAGCCAATGCTCTAACCAGGGCATAACATTTAGTTTTAAGGTAACGTCTCATTTTATAAATAAAAAAATCTGTAGTTTGTGGAATTCACTGACTGGTCCAAGGAACTAGTGGAGTGGAATGCCTCAGCTAGGGATTGGAACTGAATCCTGACTCTTTTTACTTTTTTCACACACTGTTATATAATTTGTCATTCTAATGTGTTAAATACTGTGTCTTTGTATATTTGCTTCCACTGTATGTATTGTGTTTTTGTGCATTGACCTTAATTCTTTCATTTGTATTCTGTCTTTTCTCCTTTTCATTCAGCACTGTTTTTATTTTTAAATAATTCTTTATTGTTGAAAGTATTACATGCAACCCCTTTTTTGACCTCCTCCAGCCTGCCCCTGTCATCATTATCCTTCCCCCTCCGCCCAGCCCAGGCCCTCACTGCCCCATTGTCTGTGGCCATGGGTCATGCATATATGCATACAAGGTTCTTGGTTGATTACTTCCCATCCACCCACACTCCCCGCCCCACCCTCACCCCCGCCTTCCCTCCAAGATTCTGCACTCTGTTCCATGCTTCCTTGTCTCTGGATCCACTTCGTGTTCATCAGTTATTTTGTTACTTAGATTTCACATATTAGTGAGATCCTGTGATACTTGTCTTTCTCTGGCTGACTTATTTTAGTTAGCATGACAGTCTCAGGTCCCTCAATGCTATCTCAAAGAGTAAGAGATCCTTCTTTTTTACTGCTGCATAGTATTCCATGGTGTTAATGTACCATGGCTTTTTTATCCACTCATCTACTGATGGGCACTTGGGGTCTGTTTCCCGATCTTAGCTATTGTGAATTGATTTCAGCACTAGTTTTAAATCTCTATATTACTGCTCACAATTAGAACTTGATAGTATACTGCTGATAGTATACTCTGGTGTCCACCTCATTTCATTTATCCTCTCCCCCGATGACAGACACCCAGATTACTCCCAACTCCCTGTTATCTCAAATAACATTGTAATGACTATTAGCCAGTTGTCTTGTTTGAGACCTGTGTAAGAATTCATTAAGATATATATACCCAAGAGTGGACTTGCTGGTTTGTAGACTATGTGTAGGCTTAATTTGATTAAGTAGTGCCAGACCACTCTCCAGAATAGCAACGCCACTCAACATTCCTAACCACAGTGTGTGAAGGTCCCTTCATCCCATATATCACTAAGGCTTAATGACCCAGTTTTGGAGTGTTTGCCAGTCTAATAGTGTAAACTGATATCGCATTTTAATTAGCATTTCCATAACTACTAATGAATTTGAGTGTCTCTTCATATCTTTGTAAGCCATTTGAATTTTATATCTTTTGATCAGATTCCTACTATTATTTTTCTGCTTGATTTATTTGAATTTATACAGAAGTTCTCTGTATATTAATTTCCTGTTGGTTTAAATGCTTACAAATGTCTTTTTAATTATATTTTGTATTTGTATATTTAAATTCAGAAAGTACTTTCTGCTCCAATTCATTGACAGTTTGGGGTTTTTGAAAAATCTTAAGTAGATGTTGTACCTTCTCAGGATGCTTTTCTTCATCTATTAATATGACCTTTCAGTTCTTGTAGTTTAATTTATGAGTGTGATATTCCTTGAAAAATTTCCTGATGATTAACTGTCCTTACTTATACCCTTCTTCATAATATATTGTTAGATTGAATTGTATGAAAATGCTTTTCTTATGTCAAAAAATGTTCAATATATGGCTATATCTAAGAGGTCAAATTAAATATTTTTAGTACACTCTTGAATTAAATTATCATTTTTAAATAAAAAAATTTATGTTCATGATTATAAATAAGACTATAATTTTCTTTTCTTATTCTTCTTTTTTAATCCTCACCCAAGGATATTTTTTTCCATTGCTTTTTAGAGAGATTGAAAGGTGGGGAGAGAGAGAAACATTGAAAAAGACACATTAACTGGTTGCCTCTTACATAAGCCCCAACCAGGGCCAGAGATCGAACCTGCAACTCAGGTTTGTACCCTTGACTGGGAGTGATACCTGTGACTATTCGGTGCTACACCAGCCAGAGAAAATTTCTTTTCTTGAATTTGGAATCAGAATTAGAATTATACAGCCTCAAAAAATGGCATGGATTGCCGAAACCAGTTTGGCTCAATGGGTAGAGCGTCTGTCTGCGGACTGAAAGGTCCCAGGTTTGATTCCAGTCAAGGGCATGTACATTGGTTGTGGGCACATCCCCGGTAGGGGGTGTGCAAGAGGCAGCTGGTTGATGTTTCTCTCTCATTGACGTTTCTAGCTCTCTATCCCTCTCTCCTCCTCTCTGTAAAAAATCAATAAAATATATTTTTTAAAAATGGCATGGATAACTTTTTGCACATTGTCCATATTCTGGAACAACTTACAAAGGATAAAAATTTATTATAATTTGAAATCTGATAGAATTCAAGTGTAAAAATATCTAGGACTAGAAAGTACTTTTGAAAGGTAATATTCTTGATGATCATTTCCATTTCCTTAATAATTACTAGTCTATTGCAGTTTTACATTTAGTCTTGCACTAAATATGTTATTTTAAATTTTTGAGCAATTTATCTGTTATCTATATTTTAAAATGTGTCAACATTTAGTTCATTAATATACTATTCATAATGTTATTTTAAATTCTATCTGTAGTTATTTTCCCTTTTTTCTCCCATACTTTATTTGTATCATCTAAAGACCATGAAGTAGAGATAGCACAGTGAGACAGAGATCGGATAAAATAATTATACAATGCCTATAAGCCATGAACCATTGAGTTTTTTAACATGTATTTTAGTTCATTTTTCCAGCATCCAAGCAAGTAGGTAATATAATGCCCATTTCAGAGATGAATTCCATAGATATAAAATATTAATTATTGGGTATTGTGTAAATGATAGATTTGCAGATTGAATTGAGGGCTGATAGCTAAATCAACATTCTTAATTCCCGTTTTTACTCACATAGCACTCAATATTATTATCTTGTAACCTTTGTATACTTTAAAGAAATATAATTATTTAAAAATAATTGTTGATTTTCTTTCCTACTGGACTGCAAATCCATAAGAACAGGAACCATGTCTGCTTTGTTCAAAAGAATATCTCAAGGACCAATCGCTTTACTTGGTATATAACTGGTGCTCCGTAAATATTTTTTGTCTTCCCTGCCCACATCCCCCCGATTTTTTGATTTTTTGATTTTTATTTTTTTAGAGGGTGCAGGGAGGCCAGGATTTTCGCCACATTGTTTTGGCCATCTTATGTAAGAAAATAACCCAGGGAAAACCTAGGCCAATGTGCAACTGAATGATCAGGAAAGGTTTTATGGGTGAACTATCTCCTTAGATAATGTAAAGAATTCTTAACTGTAACTTATACATAAGGCTATGAGTGACCTCAAGTACTTCATTCTCCAAAAAGGACCATTCATTGTAGAGGATTCACATTATGGTTAGGGAAATGCTGACATCTCTGTAATATAAATTTAACTGCTCTATTTCATTTTCTCTTTCTCTTTATTTTAATAGAAAAAATCAGGCAAAGATATGCAGAACTGCCTGGAGAATTACACATTATTGAACTTGAAAAGGATAAGAATGGACTTGGACTCAGTCTTGCTGGCAATAAGGACAGGTCACGCATGAGCATCTTTGTGGTGGGAATTAATCCAGAAGGACCTGCAGCCACAGATGGACGCATACATATTGGAGATGAACTATTAGAGGTAAGGTGCATATATTTATTTACTTCCATTTTGGTGAAGTGAAGGGGTGCAGGAGATAGTGTACAATAAAATGAGGTGAAGGAGAAGGGTGTTGAAAAATTATATTTTCTTCAACTAAAATCATTTTTCAAAGCAAAAATAAAAATCATATTGTCACGTGCAAATGTTATTTGCTACTTGAGTAAAAACAAATCTCCCAAAATAATTTAGAAGCCCTTAAGTAAAATCTCATGGAAATATATTAAAAGAATAAAGCTTGTTTTTAACATTAATTTTTAAAAGTTCAAAACTAATTTGATCATGTATTAATATAATGTTATTAGTATTTATCAAAATGCTCTGGGTTTTGAATTAACCATAGCATGACATTTGTATGTAATTTTGTGGGGGGGGTTTTAGTTTTTTTTTTGTTTTTTTTTTACTATTTTACATAGTAACTATTTTTGTTTTTATTGACATTTATTTTTGCTTTTGTAATTTAATTTTTTGAAAAAGTGCCAGAGCCAATATCTGTAAAGCTGATGATATGGGTTAAAGCCACATAAGAACAGGATAGAAATAAAAGAAGCTAAGGAGTTGATTGATCCTCTGATAATTACTCTCTAGATGTTTTCATCAAGAAACTGAAAGGTTATTCCTGTTTTCCTAAACTTAAAATCAGGGTTTCTGTTCTGAGTTTATCTTAGTTTGCTGTTCATTTTCTTGGCCATTCAGCTAAAAAAAAATTTTTTGTCTCTTAGAACCAGACACAGAAAAATTAATGAATGCATCCAGTTCATTCAAATAGCTCACAGTCCAGAGGAAGAAACAGATATGACAAGATTATTGCACTCTAAAAGGAAAAATGTAGTAATCATTTGTATTTAGTACAGCCAATATGTACTAAAGATCAGACACAGCAACCTCCTTTACCTATTTGTTAACCAGAGTGGTCTAGGCCTCCTGGTAAAATGCTCTAACACTTGGGCATTAAGGGGAGATAAATCACAGAGGCATGCAGTGTTGGAATAATTTACAGTGAGGTGTTGCTGATTTTGCATTGCACAATTTCCTCTTCAGATTCTGACTCAGAATGCAATTCACAGTCTTCCACAATTTGACCTGCCTAATAATATCTACAGCCAAAGCTGGTCAGATACAACTGTGAGACCATTAGTGTCATCTTTCTCTTCCAGCCCTAAGAGTTTCTCCCCATCTAGATTCTATTTCCACAAAAATGTCACTTCTGGAATTATTTTTCTTCTATTATTATATAGCATCATGAAAGCCACCCATATTGGGTAGCACTGACACGCATAATCATAAAATAAATAAAAATCAAAAGTTACCATATGTATTCAGTGCTTCAAGTTTGTTTCCTTTGGCTACGATTTAGGGACTTCTTCAGAGCTGAGACTTAAGTGTCAGAGTGGTAATAATGAAAACAAAAGCTAATTTACTGAGTGGTTGTTAGTAATCTACCTATGCATTCACACATCCTTGTTTATTATTCTTAAGAGCCCTATATGGTAAGCACTATTATGATCCTGATTTTATGTCTAAGAAAACTACATAAATAACTTAACTATGGAAAGCATTATGCTAAGTGAAATAAGCCAGTCGGAGAAAGACAGGTATCACATGATCTCACTCATTTGTGGGAATATAATGAACAACATAAACTGATGAACAAAAATAAACCCAGAGATATAGAAGCATTGAAGAGATCGCCAAACCTCAGAAGGAAGGCGGGGAAGGGGTGTGGAGGAGTAAGAGATCAACCAAAGGACTTGTATGCATGCATATAAGCATAACCAATGGACATAGACAGTAGTTGGGGAAGGGGAGAGGGGATGAGGGCATGTGCTGGGGCGTGGGAGCAGCTGGGGAGAGGTCATTGGAAAGGGGGAAGGAGACATATGTAATACTTTAAACAATAAAAAATTTATTTTTTTAATATATATTTTATTGATTTTTCACAGAGAGGAAGGGAGAGGGATAGAGAGCCAGAAACATTGATGAGAGAGAAACATCGACCAGCTGCCTCCTGCACACCCCCCACCAGGGATGTGCCCACAACCAATGTACATGCCCCTGACCGGAATCGAACCTGGGACCCCTCAGTCTGCAGACTGATGCTCTATCCACTGAGCCAAACTGGTTTCGGCACAATAAAGAATTTAAAGAAATAAATAATTAAATTTAAAAAGGGACTTGCCTAATATTACAGAACTCAGTTACTAAGTTTCAGTAAGAATCCAGGTGTGCCAGACTCTAAGATCCATGCTTTAAACCACTTGAAGTATACTGTGCTCCCTATGGTGCTTCAACCAAATCCCATTGGTTTAGATCCATGAGGAAACTGTGTCACTGTGTTGGGTTAGGCATACCTAAATGTTTCGTCTTGCATGGTAAATGGAAATGTCCCAAAGGCTGTAATTTGGAACATGAAGATTCTAGGTCTATTCTCTCGACCTTATAAAGACTGAAGGGAACGGCCTGTGGGATCCAGACCAACAGGAGCCCTGGAATTGTATTTCTCTGTCTGGGATCTTATGAGATTCCAGTCACAAATGAGTGTGGCTGCAGAGTAATGTGCTCTATAGGCCATGCACACAAGTCAACGCTGTGTACAGGGCATTGGAAACTGGACTTCGAAGACCTGCTTTAACTCCTGTCAATTTTTTCAGTTATTATATAAAATTCTTTCAGTTATTATATAAAATGGTTGCATTTTAGAAGGAGTTTAACAGAGTGCCTGGCACACAGTTGACTGTTATTTGGATCCTATTTCCTCCCTCGCAGACAGAAACTTCAATACCTGTTTCTAGGCTAGAGGCTGGAAGAGCTCTCCTGTGTGAAAAAGAAATATTAACAAATTGCCATATTGGATACCTCCTATTTCTTCCTTTAACTTTCTGAATTTGATCCTTTTGTTGCTATTTAGCAATTTTAATCTTTATTCAGAGATGGAGAGAAAAAGAAAATTAAACATGGCAATAATTTAATCCTACTTCGCTCCTCTCAATTTCTCTTGTTAAAAAAATATATTGGAACACATTCTAGCATCACTATTTTAGCTGTTTATCTTCTCTAATCCTCGCTTACTTTCTTTATCAAATGGAAATTATTCATTCAGCAAATATTTCTTTTAAGTATTTTTACTGATTTCAGAGAGGTAGAGAGAGAGATAGAAACATCAATGATGAGAGAGAATCACTGATTGGCTGCCTCGGGCACACCCCCTACTGGGAATCGTGGGCACATGCCCTGGACCAGAATTGAACCGGGGACCCTTCAATCTGCAGACCAACGCTCTATCCACTGGGCCAAATCAGCCTAGCGATTGCACAGCAGCAACCTCAGCAGGTGTGATGAGAATTACGAAGAGAAGATAAAGTCAGGTTTTGTTGCAATGTCTGACGCCTAGTAATACCTTCCTACTTTTCATATGCTGTTGGTAAAATAGTGTTTTGCATAGACTTTTGTATTTCAGTTCTTTTTGGTTTGTTTATATTAGTGTATTTGCCTCTGAAGTGGTCTCCCAGAGGGAAGCCATTTTCTACTCCTCACCAGCTCCATGCAGTGTCTTGAAAAGCTGAGAGAATGGAAAAATGCACACACTGGATTCTTAATCAGCTATAACCCATCTTCTCTCTTGGCTTTCGGCTCTAGGTCAGGGATGACAGGGAGGAAATATTTCTTTGGAAAATAGTTTCCTGGTGTCTTTTTATAGCTGAGAAAAAATTTCAATCATTTCTCTATGATATGTGAGAAATTTGTATATAGCATGATATTCAATCCAGTGTGCTTTTGAACTGAGAATAAGACATTGGTTTCATGATGACTGCCAGGGAAGATGAAGCCAGTAGTTACGACAGTAGTTCTTTGCCTATTGCAGTGTGTTAGATGATGGCATTATGATATTATGGCATGCACAATGCATTATGATAGAGGCATGCACAGTGGTTTTTAGATTATGCTTACTGAATTTCCAGGTTAGCACATCTGTGTATTTGCTTATCCACCCACACTCCATTTATTTTTGTGGCTTCTCTCCTCAATTGAGGTCAAGTTATCCCTGCCTTGAGTATTTCTACAGTCCACTGTAGAAATTTGCTCATTCCACTTCTCATTATTGCTTTGTTGTTATTATTGTCCTGTGACTTGACTCCAGCTTCCTTTTATTTATAATTGATCTGAGTTGTTTAAGCCCTAACCTGAAGCTAATTTAGAGGGAGTAGGAAAGGGACGGGGAGGCATACATGGTGGCTTCTTCGAAGTCGGAGACTCTACTTCTCTCCTGGAGCCTGTCAGTGGATGATTTTTGACAGGACATCCACCAGCAGGTTTGTTGCTGAGCGACTGCTTTGCTCCCGTGCAAGAGCAGTTAGCGCATTCTGCCGGTGGATGGCCCAGCTCATGTACAAAAGAAATCTGACGTTAAGCCTCCAGAAGACAATGTGATTACGTCTCAGCTTTTCTGCCCTTTACTACGATGCTAGTGGGGTGGGGGTAGGGGCTCTGAATTAATTTCAAGATGCATTAACATATAATTACCACGTAGACTTGCTCCAGAGTATTGGCTTTCCCTAAGCAATTAGTCCCAGAAAGTACACAGGCCTGTTCATGGCGCTGTCACAGGACTTTAGGATTTATTTATAATCTTTCCTACACTGCCTGTGTGGGAAGAGAGCCGATAGTGCTGTGCCGGGAATTGGAGTGATTTGTCAGGTTACCAAAGCAGCCGGAGGAACTGGCTGTATGGGTGGCACAGGAAATGCACAATTGATTGGGGAGGCAGAGAGGGCTGCGTCTCATCTGGCTCACAGGTCCTTCAAGACAGAGGCAGTACATTCCCTTTGTAACATTTTCCTGCAGGATAACCAAAATGAAATCTTGTTATTTTGCATGTGTATATGTTTATTTAAGAACCATTAAAAATAAAAAGCATGAGCCCTAGCTGGCTTGGCTCAGTGGATAGAGCATCGGCCTACAGACTGAAGGGTCCCAGGTTCAAT